AGCATAATGTTGCTTATATACACGTTGAATAATACGTTTATATAAGCCCATCCAACCGAATCGTGAAAAATGGTAAGAATAATTTAAACAAATAACTTGTTTTTTCCGACCGAACTTTGGCCATTATTTTGCTTGGTCTCTCATTCTTTTTTGTACAGCTATACCATATTCATACACAAAAAAAAAATGTCTATTACACTATACGCAAGCTAACCATGTGGATATTTTTTTAAAACATACCGTCTTTTTTTCCTTGAAGATTTTACCTGTATTTTGCTTGTTCTCTTGTTCGTCCTTGGCATAGCCATACAACACTAATATACAAAAAAATATGCATCGTAATAGGGTCAAAATAATCATGGGGATAGTTTTTAAATGTACTTGTTTTTTCTGCTTGTGTATCTTTGACTACCATTGTAGTCGTCATTAGAATAAATGAAATGGTCAGTAAAAAATGGATGATTTAAAAATTCAATGAATGATCAGTAAATTATTTAAATGATGAATTATTAAAACAAATGTGCTTTGTGATGTCTAAAAAACAGCAAAATTCAAGTAAATTATAATTATGAAAATCGAATTTTATCGTTGTTTCTTCTAACAGATGATACAAAGCTGACCAAAGAACCAATAGAAGAAATTAAAGTGCTTCAATCATCAGATGCTATAACTGTATTCAAATTATTATCAATACTATTTGTGAAGAACTGAAACATTAACAACAAGGAAAACCCGGTTAGTATTAATTATTTTTATCGTTTTAATAATGCTGGGTTCGGGTGAAATGATGGTTGTCTTGACTGTGTAGAACTATATGCCTCAAACACAAACAACGTCTTCGAGGCAAGAAAAAAAATGTTGGAACAGTTAGAGAACATCATATTTTACTAATATTTTTGACAATAGTTTCATATATTGTCGATAATGGGTCGATTGAACGACATTCTTCCTCAATCATCTTAAAAATATTTGCAATTACGAACTTTAACGCATCAATGGGTTAAATCGATCAAAGATTTAATTTGTGTTTCCAATGTTTTTTTTCAAAAAGCATATGCTATACCAGCTCGTGACTTATAATCGAAGATACAAGTCAATTTACGTAGATAATTTTAAAAGTAAGAAGGCAACAAATTTTACTCCATTCAAAGAAATATTCGATATTTGATGTATGTAAATGAAGAAGAATTCATATTAGCTAAAAATCAAAATGCAGTTGCCCAACCCCATTCTAAAAATTGTTCATATAAATACGTTGGTATAGCCACTCGTTTGAAATTTTGAAAGCCACCAGCAGTGCCACAAGCAGCATCAATCGGTGTGAAAAAAAATTAGATCACCAAATATTTAACTGGTATTGTTAGAACAATGATTAGATTCTCTTTTTGTTTTATTTTCTTTTGTTTGTTGTTTAATCGTTGGATTACTATTTCTTGTACTTTTCTATTTCTTGTCTTTTATTTTGCTTTTATTTTTTTTTGTTTCTTTATAAATTCATTTTTCTTATATTAAATTGATCATGATTCGAATAAAACTTATTCTTTTGGGGCGAATAAAATCTGTATTTTTATCGATCTAATTTGGAATTTCTATTGACAAAGTTTGAATTTTCCACTGACTTCTTTTGAAAAGGTTGATCCTTTTCGTACAAACTATTCCTTACTTCCGATGATGATTGTTATACTTTTTTACTAACCGTTTCACTCATTTTACTGATGACAAATCGTATTTCTGAAATCTTATAACTGTTTAGCTTGTTCTATCATTCATTGCTTATACAGCTAAACGATACTCATAAAAAAAACGAACAAATGTTCATCAAAATGTAAGAGCGAAATATAGATAAGATTACTATGACGTAGTATGTTTTTTTTTGTTGGACATTTGACCTTTATTGTGCTTGTTCTCTTATTCATCTTTTGCACAGCTATACAACACCAGCAGACAAAAAAAATATGCATCACAGTAGG